AAAACCAGGAGAAGAAATTGTGAAGTAACACATATAAATACGCATTAGACACCGTCGACAGAATGAACATACAATACAGTTTATACCTTTGAAGCTGGCGGAGGAAGTGTTCTAGTAATTGCTGGATCGGTGTGCTCTCATTTTCAGCTGCATTTTGAGATGAAAACACAGATAAGTGCAAGGAAAGAGAATATAGGTATATTTATTTATTTAAAAACATAAATACCAGAGAGAATATCTTAAGTAAAAGTACAGCTTGTAGTATATCTGAAGCTCAGCATGACATAGGTTTCAAAGCAGAAGTATATCAGATTTCTAAGCATACAGTACCTATTTCTTCTCCTTTACTGTTTTCTGAGCTTTCATCACATTAAAAACTAATAGACATTAAGTCAGATGTAATGCTAAGTCTAGTAGCTCTAAGAACATATATTAATAAAATTAAAATAAGATGTTATATATTTTTAAAGGAAAAGTGAAACTTGGCTGCTGAAATCATGCAGTTGGGAAATCCACATTCTTACAACATGTTATCAGTGCAATTTTAATGGTTTCTTTACCATTAACCCCATGCAATTAGCTTCTCTGAACTTTTCAATCACTGAGTGACAAACAGATGCAGATTTGCTGGCACATGAGATACTGATTACAATTTCACTTCCTGTACAGGTAAAAATTACACAATTAATACTACTCGTTAATTACTTGTTCCATAGTTCAGAGTGGTTGCCTTTAATGTGAAGTTTGAAACACTAAACAAGCAGCATGCTGAAATCTGGAATTAAAACTCCAACTCTTCACCATGATATTGGAGCGACATTTCCCTTCTTAACTGGAACAGGTAAGGTAATTCATATGCTTTGAAATATCATTTTACAAGCAGATGAAAATAGAATAATAAAGAGACTAGTTTTTAGCCTGTCAGTTTTCCAAGGTTCCTGACTACCCCGAGACATAAAACTCTGACCAGAAAATTTCAGTTATCTTGACAGTTGATGGCCAACATTCCTCAATTTAATGCCCAGTCATAATTAGAAAACTCCTCAATTAATTACTTGACCAGTCAAGGGGCAGTATTCCAAAGACAAGACACACAATATTCCTAAAGACACAGCTTTTTGCTACCGGGTTCCACTTTCAAGCATATGTGTAACTGAGATCATGATGTATTTGAAAATTCTCTTAAGTAAAAGTTTCCACTGGATAATGTAGAGTTTTAACTATCAAGCAACAGCTACAGGCAGAAAAAGCACGACAAAATCTGAAATGAATAAACACACAGAAGTTGCCACACACAGTTAATAAATATTTTGGTTGGTGACAAGAATTAAGGATTGGTAAATGAAAAAAAGGGGGGGGGGTGTCTATGGTCTTTAGAGACACCCTATCACAATTTCCTGTTAATGAAAATACAGATACTAAAACTCAACATATATTATAAAAAAAAAGACTGTAACAACAACTAAGCAGTCTTCACAAGATTTTTTTTGCCTTGAACTAAGGAAAACTGAAATTTCAGACATTTTGATCACCGTTCGGTAAATGCTAAGGATAAGGCATTAGGGGAACACTGTGCACAATAATACTTTTATGCTAGCTTTATTCTGCCAAGTAATAGAAGCCAGAGACAGATGTCCTTGGCAACTTCAGTCACCTGGAAACAAACCTACTAAAACCTGTAAGCACCATGAGGAATACTGACTTTTCAGACAACGCAAAGTTCTAAACGCTGGAAAAAGTAAAGTCCCTAGATTTCAGCAAATCTTCATGAAAACTTTACATTTTGGTACCTTTGACAAAACTTCGTTGTGCATGCTTCTAAAAACAACCAAAATAATTTAATTTCTCACACTGCTCACCTGGCTGAGTTCTGCATGCTCTGACAGGACGATCTGGAGGAGGTTCAACCTCTACTTTTTTCCCAGGATCAAAGTCATCAGTTTCTCCTTCAGTGTCACATTGTTCTTTCTCCCTTTTCCTCTTTTTCTCTTCCTAGCACAGCAGGAAGAAGACATCTTTTAGAAGAACATACTTGGAATGTGCAATCCCACACACCAAAAGGAAAGAGATAGTGATTTCTTTCATATGGAAAAATCATTCTATATCTGAGTCATAATAGGGTTTAAACAACACTGCATATATTTTCACTATCACTTTTTCAATTTTCTTCTCCAATTAAAACTAAACTGTTCATCTTTTGCTACTTTGTATTTAACATAGTATTGTACTATCATTACTGTACTTCCATTGAAAAGAATGTTGAACTCTGAAGCTATTTATATGTAAAATTTCATGATAACAAGCTACACCAGAGAGCAAAGGAAGTTAATTTACTATTCAGTAAAGATCAGTCTGCCGCTCTGCTTTGATCAGTGTGCTTTTGTTTGGTGCATTGAACAGGAATGAGTAAAGTATGTGATAATTCACAAAGCCCACAAAAGAACCACAAGGACTGCTCTGTAACAGTGGTGGCAATTAATGATCTCTTCCTGAGCTTCACAGCAAAGGCAAGCCTAAATCATTCCTATAATCTTGCAGTCATTATCCATGTTTTCACGGAAAAGCATATTTTCATTAGCCTTCTTTAGTCTGCAGTTTTGCTTCTTAACTATCTGTTAGCTTATTTTGAATGCACCAATAATGAAGTTCCGGGAAAAAAATCCAAACAATCCCCACACTGTAACTTAGTAAAGGCAATTGATGATGCAGTATCTTGTATGAAGGACAGTTGTTTTGCTATATTTCAAGTCCCAGCCATACTCTTAACTGAAACATTTGTACTAAGAAAATTTTGCACTGTCTATGCTGTATTCAAGAGCTTCTGAATGATCCTATGAGATATGTCACTTTCAAGTAATTGAGTCTAACAAGTCAATTGGAAATCACAGATGTTAGCCACAAACCCATACAAAGTAGCACCAAAAAAATCATGATATGAGCAAAACTACATAACAAAAAAAGAACTAAAAAAGGAGAGAGGTCAAAGAATCATTAGTACACAAAAGAAATACTATTAAAATTTAATTGTACAAGGAACTGTACTGTCAATGCCTTCTTGCTGATTTTAATCAAACTCCTCAAGGTTCAACACACACAATTAAGGTGACCACACCATTTGCTACTAGCAAAGTCACAAAGCCTTGCATGAAGGTTATTCTAAGAGCCAATCTAACTATTGTACTACAGTACTCAACAGATCAGATCTCAGAAAGCTGTTTTGAGTAAACATATCAATTTCAATGTCCAGTAACTTGGCATATGTCAGAAAGAGAAATGCAACCAAGATTTATTTGAAAAGCTGAAAATACCCTCCCTGAAAGGGTAGCAAAACATGATTGTGACCTGGCTGAAATACAAAACATCCAACTTAAAAATGGAAGTATTCATTCAAAGCAAATAAATAAGAAAAATGAGCAGTTACAAGAAGGAAGCTTTTACTTTGTTCATAGAATCACCACGAGTATATATCTCATTTAAATGGCAGAAATACACCAATACACACACAAAGGTTTTCTAAATTTATGAAGTGCTGAGTCCAGACAGTAGGCCTCTTGGAATAGTGATTTAAACAAATAACAACAAAAAAAGCTCTGGTACTCTGCACCAGATTTTAGATCTGATTAGCAAGGATAGTGGCTGCTATGCCTGAATTCTAAAACTCTCAGCTTACCTTTCTCTTTCTTCTTTCTTCATCATCTAGATGCTTTTCTTTTTCCTTCTCAGACTTTTTTTTCTTTTTCTTCTTCTTTTCTTTATGTCGTTCTCGCTCATGATCTGATCTGTCATCATAGTAACTAGAATCATGCCCTGACCCAGAGAGTTCGGTCACTTCACTTCCTCCAACTTTAAGCACCAGCTTTAAAGGTTTTTCCAAAGGTTTATCCACATAATCTAAATTAAAAAAAAAACAAAACCAAACCCAACATTTCATAAATGCACAGAGAGATGATAGCACACAGCAATTACAGAATCAATTAGGTTGGAAAATACCTCTGAAGTCATTGAGTCCAGCCTATCACTGAACACCACAATGTCAACTAGATCACGGCACTGAGTGCCACATCCAGTTTTTCCTTAAACTGTCCTCTAGGGACAGTGACTCCACCACATCCCTGGGCAGCCCATTCCAATATAAAACCACCTTTTCTCCAAAGAAATTCTTCCTAATGTCCAACTCGAACCTCCCCCGCAGCTTGAGGCTTTGTCCTCTCATCCTATCACTCACTAGTTCCCTGGGAGAAGAGCCCAACTCCCACCGGGCTACAACTTCTTTTCAGGTGTTTGTACAGAGTGACAGGGTCATGCCGGAGCCTCCTTTTCTTCAGGCTAAAGACCCTCAGCTCCAAAGCTTCTTCTAGAAATACTGTTTGTAAGAATTTGCTGCAGGTCAAAAATATACACAATACATTTGGAAAGAAAACAATACCTAAGACTCATAAATCCAAACTAATAGACAGTCGTTCAGCACATGTTACGTTGTGATTTTCCACAAACCCGTAACATGGAAGAAACCTACTCCTCGGCTTTCCCTGAAAACTTTGCAAGATTCTTGTCAGAGCAAGGTGAAATTAAGCATCGCTCGAGCACCGCAGAGACCGGATCCCATCAGGAACAGCCGCAGGAACCACGGAGACGCCCGGGCTCACAACCCACCCCTCGCCCCGCGTTCCTCAGGCCGCCCCCGTCGCCGGCAGCCCCGGCACTTAAACCAGGGCCTGTCCCTGTGAGCCCCCCAGCCCTGCAGCGATGCCGGGTCCCGCCGACAGCCAGGGCGGAGGGAGGGGCGGGAGTGTCCCGGGCACAAAGAGGGTCTCCCCCGGCGCTTACCGCTGTAGGCGGTGGCGGAGGTCGAGCGCCACTCTGCCTTCTCCGCTTTGTGCTTCTTGTGCTTCTTCCCCATGGCACAGCCAGCGCCGGAGCCTGAACCAGCCCCGCCGGAAGCGCCGGGACGGGCGGACCCTCCCACCCCGGGCGGAGGAAGATCCGGGTGAGGGGCCGACCCGCCCTGCTCTGCACAGCGCGCCCTTTACGAACGGGCAGCGGCTGCAGTGTGCTGCCTCGGGTTCGTCCCGCGCTCCTCCCCGCTGCGCTAGCGCGTCTCTTCCCAGACCGTGCCTGCCGTGAGGTGATTCCCTGTGTCCAGCGTTGAGGGCAGGAGCGGTCCGGCCGCGCTCGTGGCGTATCCCGAGGCTGACGTCGCCATTTCCTGAGGGAGGGAAGTGCCGATCCCGATCCTTGCCTGGGCGAGGTGCACGCGGACGGGGCACCGGGAAAGGACTGGCTGTGCCCTGGGCGTGTAGCAGGCCCTGGGAATTGCTTCTCCTTGGTATCGCTTTTCCCCTAGGAGCGAGGAGGATGGATGATGCCGCAGGGGAGCTGAAGCAAGCGCTCCCAAACGTGTGTGACAACGTTCAGATCCATGTGGAAGTTCATCAGAAATCGAGCAGGTCTCTCTGATCACCACGTAACTTTCTGTAACTTGTGTCTGTTTCCTTTTGACCTCCTGCTGTGCACCCTCAGGAGCCCACAGGACTCTGCTCTGCCATCTCTGTGCTCTCCCAGGAGTTTCCGCGCAAGTGTCTCTTCCTAAGATTGAACAAATCCATTTCTCTCAATTTCATCTGATAATCAAGTTGGTGGCCACATTCGGGCCTTGCTCTGGTTTATCCTTGTCTCTCTTATGGCAGAGCTTGAAACTGCACACAGTACTCCAGATATGGTCCCACAAAGGCGTGGAAAGAATCGCTTTCCCTAATGTTGACACTCTTGGTAGCACAGCCTAAAATAAGGTTGACCTTATTTGTAGCAGGGGCACACTGCTGGCTCACTGCCATTTTGTCCACCAGTACCCCAGGCCCTTTTCTGCAAAACTGCTCTTCATCAGGTTGACCTCTGTTCTGTTCTGTTATCTGAGCAGTGAATGGAGAGATAGGATTTCATGTTTACTTTTGTTGAACCTCAAGAAGTTCCTGTCAAACTATATCTCCAACCTGCAGAGGTCCCTCTGAATGGCAGCCCTGCTCTCTAGAGTACTGACAGTCTTCCTGCTTTGGAGTTATCCATAAACTTGCTGCAATTGCTTTCCATTCCATTGTCAAAGGTGTAAATGAGGGTGTAAAAACAGTGTTAACGGTACCCCCCCACCTTTTCCAGCCTGAGTTATTGGCAGCTCTGCTTAGTCTTGGTACTAATAATCACAACCCTCTGAGCTGGACAGTCCAACCACCTCACTGTTCATTTATCCAGTCCTTATCTTAACAGTCTGGCTATCTGGATACGATAGCCAGATATGAGAGAGCGTGTCCAAGTTGTTGCAAAAATCAAGTTGTAAAATATCCACTGCTCTCTTTTTGTCAGGCTTAAAAAACAAGGAACTTGGAATTTGCACTGGTTATACATCACTGAAATTGCAAGACCAAGTTAAAGCCTTTCTGAAATCTTCAAATGGCATTCCTTTTCCTGTAGCTTTTTTCTCTTCTACTGGAATTCTCCTTATAGTATGTCCCCATCCCAAGGTATCAGCTGTCCTCAGACTTGAAAGTATAATGGAGCTTCCAAGTTAATCTTACCACATTCAGTCTGGTAGCTTGGCTATGAGTTTTTCTGTTTTTTCTGCTGAAACACAATCAGATTGCATAACTGATTTCCATTCTTGAAATCTTCTAGCTATGTCATTCTGTGTCCCCTGATATGACTTCAAACAGAGCAAACAGTATTCTTTGGATTGTGTCTTTTAATGCACAAATTAAAAACAAGTATCAAGTTTGTTGCCTTTGCAAACCGACTGAATTTGATAGGGTTTTTTCTTTTTTCCTGCAGAATGTCGTGGGGGAGTTAAGTGGGTTCTTTTGTATTGGTTTTTTTTTTGGTTGTTTTGTTGATTTTGTATGTGTGAGATGGAATCTGTTTTCCATGAAGGTTTAGCGTATGAAATAATGCACTCTGACACTAATTCATATTTCCTTATAAATGTCAATGCCATGTAGTAATGGTGTTCCTTTATTGTTAGTGCGGCCAAGAAAGAAGATATTAGGATGAGTGTCCTAAAGCTGTTGAACAGACATACCATCGTGTTTGGTGATTACAAGTGGACAGAGTTTGATGACAGTTTTCTTAAGAACAATGTGCAGTCTGTGTCGATTGTGGATACGGAGCTGAAGCTGAAAGACAGACAGGTATTTGCAGTCAAGAATGTACAGCTCTGTTCATATGCCCATGAACTAGTTGTAGGTAGATTGGTGGTGGCCTAAGGACATAAGCAAGACAAGGTCTATAGGATGACGTAGTATCTCTTATTAGGCTGACTAATATAACCAGGAAAACATGGCTAATTTTTTGGGCCTACACTGCTTAGTAAGGTCTGAAACAGAAATAGTAGGCTTCAGAGATGAATGCCAGCTGAAAACTGTAGCTGTCTTTTGTTATAGTTGGCTTTGAATGAGAAATATGATGCATTAGAAGTCTTTTCATGTTCATTCTAGCCTATTGACTTGAGCAAAAGCAGTCTTTCTCTGCATATTTTTCATCTGAATGAAGAAGGACCAACCTCTGAGAACCTGGAAGAAGAAAATGAGGATATCACTGCAGCTCACCACTGGGTGCTGCCAGCAGGTACCTGTGTGATATTTCTGGAAGGTCTAGAGCAATTACAATGAAAGAAAACCTTGGAAAGGCTGGAAGGGTTTATAGGGTTATCTGTTAAAGGTATTATTTGTATATATCGTTTAACTTTGTCCTTTGTCTATGGAACCAATATATTTGGACATTTTTCTTTATGGTTTTGACTGAACTGCTACAGGGGTTCCAAAACACGTCATTTATTTCTATAAAATTCATGGATGTGTGGAAATAACTGGTCTTGTGGTCTAAAATGTATAGTCATAATCAGAAGCATTGAAGTTTTTAATCCTACAAGCTGCATTCCAAATTTTGACTTGGAGACTCCCAGGAAACTCATCACTTTAAATACTCATTTTCCAGAGCTCACTGCTGGCTTCCAGCCCCCAAGGCAGTGTCGTTTTTATATCTGAAACAGACAAACAAAGAGATCTAGAGTCCTCAGAATGTTTTCTGAAGAGAAAAATAAGGCTTTGCTCTGCAGTAGAGCACAACCTGCCTGTTACTATCTTGAGCTTGGGGAAGCTGGATTCTGTGCCTGGAAGGAGAAGCACAGGTGTGAGCTTAAGCTCAAACAGACAGTTATTCTGAAGTGTTTCCTACTTTCTCCATGTTTCAAAATGCCTAACTATCTATTACATTTATTTTCAGAAAGAATTCAATCTGATACATTGACATTATTCCTACATTATTGTGGTTTGTAGTTGTTCGGTCTTTTTTGCTTTTCTTTGCTGAAAGTAAGCAACTAACTGCTAAGAATGACTGATACCCAAATGACAACTTCAGTTTTTTGTGCATTATTCAGCCACGTGCTTTTTTTGGTCCTCCACATCTTGATGTTAATTTAAAAAAAAAAAAAAAGGCAAAGCTGAATAATAAAAATTACCTTAGAACCCTCCCCCCACCCCAGCTTCTCATAGCTCTCTGTTTTGGAGAAATGTAGGTCCACCCCCTCTTGAGGGTGGAAAGAATTATATTTTTCCTTTCATGTTAAGAAATCAACATTAACTTCTCAACACAATTATTTGACGGATTTGAGCAATTTGAGAAACTGCTGAATTTGTCTGTTAGGAAGTAGTGTTTGCGTTTTGAGAAAAATAACTCATGAGGTTTTTTTACAGATATTTTAATTGCCCTCATTTATCTAGTTTTAGTTGAGAATAATTTGAAAACTGCTTTGTGCTGCAATGATAGGCTACAAGTTCCCAGACTGATTTAGCCTAAACAAGTTTATAATATATTGCTTTTCCAGCTGAATTCCATGGCCTTTGGGAAAGTCTCATATACGACAGTGAAGTAAAAGCAAATGTAAGTTGAAAATTAATAACAATTAAGATTGCTTGAGGAGAAGTAAGAGCTGAAATGAGGCCTGTTTGAAGTTTACTGCATCCCTTGGAGATGTGGTGGGTGCAGGCTAGGCAGAAGGGGATGGGAGTTTAGCAGAGTGTTTCTGGCAGCAGCTAAACAATTAATTGGCTTGGCAGTAGTGTCAGCCAGCACTGTCACTGTTCATAAAATGCACACTGAATGATTGGAGTGCACTCCCACTTGAATGCTGGTAAGATGTTTGAAAGAAGCAGAACAGTTCCATGGGATCATTTTCTGGCTCGAAGATTCTGTGCATTCATCAAAGGTTGTGATAATAAATGCCAGAGCTCGTAGAACAGAAATACCGCAATCTGGAATCTAGTAATTGTGATGTGACTATAAAGCACAAGTGACTCAACTCAGTTGTTCTTATGACAGCACTCATTAAAATGTTTATTGTGCTTCTTAAAAAAAAGAAGCTTCTGACTGACATTTTTGGACATAAGTAATTAATTCGTTAGCTTGTTTGTAATACCATAGATACAGTATTCTCACTTAAGTCTTTATAAACAAATATAGCAAAGCAAAACATTTCAGTGATTGTACTTCTTCATTTATAAGGTAAATATGAATTAACATGTCCACGTTTGTCTAATTTATGAAACTGATTTCCAAGTCATCTATGAAATGACGAGACTATCTAATTAGACTTGCTGATGTACTAAATAACAGCAAGCTGATCACTGTTGACTGTAAGTGTATACTGGTAGAAAGAAATGGTTGCTTTTAATGACTAAAACTAGGACTACTTCTGTAAAAATAATGGTGATGAATCTTTATTCTTTAAAGCACGGAACTGCCTGGGCATGGTTGAGTTCTACGGGCTCTGAAATGGTTGCTGTGAATTTTCAAAATAGTACAGTCTGTGTCCATGGAATATTGAAAAACATGTGGATTAAGTTCAGTTGGTTTTGCTGTTGTGTAACTGCTCCACCGTGAGCATGAGATTTTGCAGGAGTACTGTCGTATTGTCCTATTAACACCTATGGATCAAAAGCACCTTACAGGTAAGAGCGATAGAAGGTAATCAGGTGTTATGATAGGTAAAAGTCAGTATAGATTCACACCTGAAGTTCATACTCATTTTGTTGAAAGAGTTCTCTACTTCATAATTCTAGAAATTCTGAATTGAAGTAGCAGTATTTTTAGAAGCTAGCATTCAGGGAAGTACATGAAACTTCCCTTATTTGGAAGGGTAAACAATCTACAAATTTGTTACAGTAGCTGATACAAATGCTTCAGTAAAAAGGAAGTAAAATGTGAAAGGAAATGCTTTGGTGGGCTTAGTACAACAAACTGAACAAATGTATAGCTGTACAAACAGTACCGAGAGTTTGAGTCTTTGACTCTCTGTGCTTGGGCAGCTTGTGTTTTATAGATGCGCTGTAAGTGGGACAATGGAAAATGAAAATAATTTTGCTTCCTTAAAGCATTTAATTTATTAATTTAAAAGTTCTAGGTCTCTATTTGTGCCCAGTACATTCTATTCGTATTCTTGAGAGTAGGACAGAAATTAATTCCCATACTTTGGAGAAATAAGTTTGCCTATGACTAAAAGACATGAGCTCTTTTTTTTTGTTGTTGTTGTTATGAGTACACAGTAGGCATGATTAGGAGATTGCTTCTATCTGTAATTGTATTTGCTCTTATGTCTCTATGTGTCTGTTTTTCTTCTTTTCAATTAGTTACTTGATTACGTGACAACAACATTATTATTCTCTGACAAAAATGTCGACAGCAACCTGATATCATGGAACAGAGTTGTTTTGCTGCATGGTAAAAACGATCTCTCTTAAATCGAGTACATTTGTTGGCCACATGTTTATACTTTCCTTCTGGCAAAACTTGTATTGCAGGCCTGTTGTAGTGAAATTAGATGATACAAAAATAGCAGGGAAATATCCTCTTTATTATACAGGTTTAAATTAAGTGTAATGTCAGAGTGAAATCAATGTTCATGTGTACTATGTTTTGCAGGAATTTAAATCCTAGAATTTACAGTGCAGTGACAGCTGTGGGTTTTTTTAATTTTCATTTTTAAGTGATATTGCAGCTTTTTTACATAAAGAGCAAAAATAATGCAGATACCGAGAACATTAGAAGGCATATATTAGTTTCACTTCTATCCCAGTATTAAATATTTTGTTAGTTATGGCTTTATAAAAACTTTGAGGAAACTGGGAAATCAATCTGTGTGTTGTGTTTTTTACAGTGTGTGTTCTATTGCCAAGTATGAAGGCAGTACTCTCACTAATTTAGTTGTTTCAGTGAAGCTGTAACCTTCAGTCAGTCCTAGCTTACTGTGGAAATTATACCAGAAATGAGATTAGCATCAGATGAATCCATTTGCTTGCAAAATGCAGCTTGCTATTGATTAATTGCAATTTTATCATCAAGAATAATGTTCAAAAATAAAAGATCATAGTGGAAGTATTTGTTGATTGTACTTGAGTTATAACTGTCAATATAAAAGCTGCAGGATGTTTTTGTTTGAAAAACTATTTATTTCAGACTGTTAACATTGTATTTATGATAGATATATTTAATTTTAATAACGAGCTTATTATTGTGATCACAAAGAAATTAATTCTAGGAAATCTGCAACTGTTGCAGTGTGAAATACATTTATGCTGTAATGCCAGTATTGGCTTTGAAGGAAAGTACTGTCATTTGGTTGACATTAACAGTTTGTGTGCCCCCGCACATGATTTCCCATAGATTCATACTCTTGTATGAATCACTATGCTTGTACTTGCCTGTTTGGCTCTAGGACTGTAGTGGAATAAGCAATTTTCTCAAAATACTCTGGCCTACTGTGTTTTTATTCTACAGTTAGTGCTATGATGAAATAGAGTAGTTAAAAAGCTGTTACATGTCATTAACAATCTGATGCAAATTCTGTGTAATGTATGGATCTGATTTCAAACCAGGCCCTCCTGGAACTGGGAAAACTTCTCTCTGTAAAGCATTGGCTCAGAAGCTGACAATTCGACTGTCATACAGGTGATAATTTTGTTGAAATTCTTCACCTTAGTTTACTTTGTAAACTAGTTGCTTTTTTTCACTAGCCCAAATATATGTAATATTTGATTTCAAGTAAGTTGTGCCAAGTGCTAATGTCCTTTTTTTTATACTGTGCCCAGCTAACAATAAAACTGATCTGATAGACTGTCTAGGATATTTAATGTCTTTAAAAATGTGTCATTATTTGTGCCCAGGTGTGTAAAACAAAGTCCAGTGACAATATAGTAATTTCTGCTCACATTGTACATCAATGAATATTAAAGGGCAAAGGATCACAGATTATTTTGGTATTTCTATCTTCTTGTTCAAGAAAGCCTGTTCTTAATAGGTAGCGATTTTGTAACCAATTTGTTTTGTACTTGGATTGTCTGAATAACACAATCTGCAGAGGTCAGTTTGTATATCAGACAAGTAATAACAATTAGCCTTAAAGTTTATAGCAACTTAACAAATTTATTTAGAAAAATAAATGTTATATAAAATACGAGGTGTAACATAAGTAATGGGAGCGATCTGAATGTGTGAAAAACATGGACTATATGTTGTGTGGTCGAAATATTTTATCATAAGCAGATCCATGCACTGCTAAGTAAATAAGTTTCATACTTTTATATGAGTTCTTGCTATATTGAAGAAAATCTTACATGAACAGAAGAATGAGGCAATTAGCATGGTAACTGTTACTCAAACTATATTTAAATAGCACCTGTTATAATGGAGACATTCTAATAGCAATTTAATGTGAAGAATTCTACTGAGACATGTTGCTGGAAATCACAATTGAAACAGGTATTATGTCTTGAAAAGTAGGTAATTTAAAGTACTAATTCACAGAATCCCAGGGTCGAAATGGAGAGAATGAGACTTGCAGGAGTTAATGATATCACTGACTTTTATTTACAATGGAGTTGATGCTTCCTTTTCCTTTTATACTTTAGGTACAGGTATGGACAGCTAATTGAGATAAACAGCCACAGCCTTTTCTCTAAATGGTTTTCTGAGGTATGTATTGATGTAGCTAATTAAGTAGACGCTGTGTTTTAGAAATTACACTGTTTCTGTTGAGCTTGTTTCATGTATGCACCAAAGATTACTCACAATAATTAACATGTTTGAGAATGCTTAAATGGAAGTTATATTAGAAAGTTATTTTAAAAAAACAGGTATTTCCATCTTTAAATATGGTAAGCCTTGGAAAGTTGTGTGGTAAGGAAATAAACATCTGCATATGGTGTCTTTATAGAGTGGCAAGCTTGTAACCAAGATGTTCCAGAAGATTCAAGAGTTAGTTGATGACCAAGATGCTCTTGTATTTGTACTGATTGATGAGGTATGATTCCAGTAGCATTGTTGTATATAAAATTTAGCAGGAAGTAAATTGCTGGGGAGAAACTGTAATAGTCCTCATTTGTAGTGAACAATATAAGCACATCTATGATATTTCGTAAGCTATATAGCTTTGTGCAGAAGAGTGAATTTTAATCCTGACTGCTGTGGATTTGAGAGATTTGGAGGGAACACAGTGCCATTTAGCAGGCAAATTACAGCTGAAAATTAATTGAAGCCTTTCTTGATGGGACTTCCTTGCTGCTGTGTGTTTACAAGTGGAGTAAAAGTAGCCTAGATTTGTATTATTTGTACTCTTCTATTTGTTGTAAAACTCTAAAATACATTAATATGGTTCAGTTCATTGTCTACATTCTCTGCAGAGTTGCATACATAAGCAACTCAGTAAGTACGTACTTTATTAGCTTGTTTTATTGAAATATCTATGGGGAAGCTCATTCTAAATTCAATGTATTCATTATTCTGGTGGTGTGTTCCATTTCACTCACTACACTTTGCTTCCTTGACATGCCTTTCCTACTCCCTGTAATTTCCTACTTAACAAAAGATTTTGAAGATGGAGTTTTAGATACCAGACACAAGGATCTGAGGGTATATTGGCTGGGTTATTTGTTTGCTACCAGGACTCCAAATGTGCAATCTTTTTGGGTTTTTTGGTGTTTGATGATTTTTGTTGTTGTTGTTGTTGTTTTGGTTGGTTGGTTTGGTTTTTTGTAGGTGGAAAGCCTCACGGCAGCCCGCAGTGCCTTCAAGGCAGGCACAGAACCTTCAGATGCTATTCGTGTGGTGAATGCTGTATTGACACAAATAGATCAGATTAAAAGGTAAACTCATATTATTGGAACAGCAAAAGATAATCGACAATTTCAGGATTCCTGCTAAATTTCGGTTCCTACTTGGAATGCTAAAACAAATTGGTTAGTGAACTGTTGTTTGTAAATGATGCTAATTTGAAAAGACATAGGAGTAATCCAACAGAGTATTTTGCATGTACCTGAGTGGACAATCAAATCACTAGGCTGTATACTTCCCTTAAAGATAGGGAGGGAAAAAGGACAGATCATCATAGTGTGTGCTTGGAGAGACAAGAATAAGATGAATGAAGAATTTGTTTATTATATACCGCTTCTGGATGTCAATCTAAAGCAGACTTGGACAAAACATGGTTTAGAAGAAATTGTTAATCTTGCTTGCTCCACTTTGTATGCTGGATTTAGTGCAACATACCAGCTTTTTTTCATTCCTACCACTTCCCTTTCCTTATTGTGCATCCTTGGCACTGTTCACAGAACAGTGCCCTAGTATTTGGCCCTGTCTTGCAGCTAATTAAATATGTCTTATTCATACATAAAAGTTGACAGGTTTCATCTAAAAACAGCTGTGGTTAAGAATGTTCTTTCATTGCTTAGAGCAAGGATATGTTCTCTTTTAAGCTCACTCTGAAGTAATTTGCAGTTAGAATATGTCACATTGCCAGTTAAACTATATACTTTCTACTAAATTGAAATGGAAAACATGTAGATTAAAGTTTCAAATTTATGAGTCTTCTTTTCAAAATCTTTTTTTTGTGGTAGAAACTATACCAATAGGCTCTAGATAGTTAATGTATATCACTTCTAGAATAGGATGAGAGAAACTGTGGACACTTGAGAAACAACTAAAAGAAAGAGACTATGCATTGAAATAGGCTGGTGATAACTGACCAAGAGCTTCAGATCATTTAATGTAATTGCTGGTTGACAAAAGTGATGCGACTAGTTATTGCAAGACATTACATGAGTCATAAGAGGGAAGGTCTTGATTTGCCAGTCACAAAAGGAGATAAAACATGTGACCTAACAATATGCTTTTGTCTTGAAGGTATCCCAACGTAGTTATCCTGACTACTTCAAATATTACGGAGAAAATTGACATGGCCTTTGTAGACAGGGCTGACATAAAGCAATACATTGGACCTCCATCTACTGCAGCAATATTTAGAATATATCTTTCTTGCTTGGAAGAACTGATGAAGGTAATATTTGAAAGCAAGACTGCAAAATGTCCTATTTCAAAATAGGACATTTTAACCATACTTCCTAAGTAACAAAAATACAAAAATTTAATTCCTTCTCTGTATTTCCACTCCTACTGTAGAATTTAATTTTGAATGTATTTGTTTTTCATACAACAATGTGTAACTCTTCTTTCTAGTGTCAAATAATATATCCTCGACAGCAGCTTCTGACACTCAGAGAGCTAGAGATGATAGGCTTCGTAGAAAATAATGTGTCAAGGCTAAGCCTTGTACTAAAAGAAATCTCAAGGTAAGATTCTGAAATTCTACTTTTTTTCATATATATATCGAGTTGTGGAATGATGTATAAAAGTAACTGAATTTCATAGCAGTTAGAGTTCTGAAACATTCCCATTTTTTTCCTGTTGGGGATAGTGCAAAACCTTTTAGGGGACCAAAAGTGGAAGCAATCATGATTTGCTCACATTTCTTAGTTTCAGAACAGGCTCGACTTAGTACTGCTTCTGGTTTCTGCTCTGCCATTTGAAGTCCTCTTGACAGATTGCTGGCCAGATTAGTGAGATGCCTTAAGTTTCAGTGGATATTGGAAATTGTAATGCAGGTTAGCAGAAATAGCTTGGGCCTCAGGTCCTGCTAAGAAAGTGTCTTGAAATACCTAGCAATCTACTAAATCAGTATTTAGCATGGAGATGTAAGTGGACAGAAGCAAGGGGGAAGGGAATGAAGTGTAAATGGACAGTGTTATGGTTTTCTGAGGATGCTCATAGAGCAAATAGTCTTTCACTGCAGCATAACAGTTCTTGAAACAATAAATAAAAATTATATTCACAGTATCAAGCAATGTTTTTTTTCCAAAGTGCTGGTCTCTGTGGAACAAAATAAAATAACATAAAGTTAGCAAAGTGTGTTTTCTTTCTGTTCCTGAAGTATGCAATCTTAACCGATGAGGAGTGGAGTAAAAGCATGTAAGTTTTTCCAGGGATAGAGGTTTGCAGTCTACATACGCAGAGTGGTGCTTGGAGAAGACAAGAAACATATATCAAGTCGGTGAGGTGAAGGAAACTGTAAATGATTGGTAGAAGGAGAAAAGCAGTAGCCATGAGGTCCAAACTTCAAAACAGGGTTTTTTTCAAGTCCTTCCAAGAGTGGTTATGTCTGTACCATACCCTTTTGGTGGAGACATTCCCCCAAACTCATGAGATAAGGCACAGTGATGTGAAGGGCATGATGTAAGCATTGGCAGGCAACTGTGACTATGCTGTTTCTGTACCCTCGCTTCCTTTTTTGTATTATACTCTGTAGCCTCCCATAAGCAGAATTTGTCTGTTCTCTTCCTACTCCTGCTAAAAGAGCTGCAAGTGACCTGCTGAATTGTGATCTGAGGTTTTTTTAGAGCAACTTAGTTGAGAAACAAGAAAAAGGAAAGGTCTTCTAAGAGTGAACACTTAGCATTTAAGCAGCACTTGTCTCTGTTTTACTGTAGAAGAAGTGAAGGTCTTGGTGGTCGGGTCCTGAGAAAGCTTCCTTTCCTAGCACATGCACTTTATATTCAAGTAAGTTTATTATATTCAAGTGAGTTTGTTCTATTAATTATAATTTAGTTTGGGTTTGAGACAGGCAGGAAGACATTTGGACACTGCCTGAAGTAAAAGATTGGTTTTAACCCCCCTTTTGATCTAAATTTCACTTGTTTCTGCGGCTTTGTAGACTGCAACAATGATGTGCTGGCCATAATCTAAAATGGGATTGAAGAAGTGATGTGGGATTGACCTGTCAAGCAGCATTCTACTTTTAATTAAATTAATGAATATTGATACTGGTTCTCTGATAATTCCTTGCTGAAAAAAACCTCTGCCACTTTATAAATATTATTAATTTGTTAAAAGCCTTTTTTTAAGCAAATCTACAGTAGTAGTGATTGACTCAAGACCTTGAATAGCTTGACTTTGACTTTGCCATGCTAGCTTGTTTAAAATAAACCTGCAGTTTGTTTTGTAGCATGTAACATGGAAGTAAAATATTTATCTTATTGATACTGTGATTTTTATGTAAAATATTATGTCTGCCTATTGCTGTAGTGTGTCTAACAAAATGTTCTCTTATTTTCAGTCCCCCAGTGTTACAATGACAACATTTCTTCACGCTCTTTCACTTGCAGTAGACAAACAATTTGAAGAAAGAAAGAATCTTGAAGACTGTGTGTGATACTCTACTATTTTGTAGTTGACTGTATTGTTATATTTTTCATACAAATTTTGCAACTTTTATGCGTCTGTAAAATAAATTGTCAGCACCTTAAAAAACCTGGAATGCCTCTTCTAGTTTTTAAAAATATTCATTAATAAACAATTAAGAAAGTTTACAGCCTCTTTTTTGAAGCTTGATTTCAAATGTCAATAAGAAGATTGTAAAAAGTTTTTGCTCTAAGTCAGTTTCCATCTTTTGCAGTTACTAAAAGTGGGCAGACTTCTGTGCCTTGCTTCTTAATCACTAACTTTCTATCCATGCATCAGGTTTTATATTTCTGGTTTCTTTTATATTTTTAATAGCAATAGAAAGTCACTCTTTGGATCTCATACTTCTGCTATAAATGCAGTATTTGTTATTGCTTTTGAAATAATGAGGATGAAACTGGGAAGGATTCAAAATGCTCAGTGATAGACCAGACTTTTTATACTGACGTCTCTTTATCTTGGAATTTAATATCAACTATTACTTTTTTTTTAATTACATCAGATTCAAAAAATTAAATCAAGAGTACTTAATTGTATTTTGTAATACTAGGGGAATTTTGTGTTGTTGCAAGAATGTGAGCCAGAGTGGACCATATTTTCTCCATGAAGTGTAACTACAGTGTGTAAGAAAGGTTCTTCAAAATGCATGGAGTTTGGTTTGGTGTTGTTTTATGAAAAAGAGGGAGGGGGGCTTTTTACAAGGGCATATTGTGATAGGACAAGGGGGAACAATTTTAAACTGAAAGAGGGTAGGTTTAGCTTAGGTATTAGGGATAAATGCTTTACTGTGAGGGTGGTGAGGCATTGGAATAGGTTGCCCATCCCTGGAATGGTTCTAGGCCAGGCTAGAAGGGGCCCTGAGGAATCTGGTCTAATGGGTAGAATCCCTGCCATGGTAGTGGTGGAAGTTGGAACCAGATGATCGTAAGGTCCCTTCCAACCCAACCCATTCTGTGATTCTATTAATTTTAAGGGAGTTTCCAGAAAAGTTTTTCTTAAATGAAGATAAAATTGTGACATTTAAGTTGATGATATCCAATGCATGTCTCCTACCATCTTTTATCACAAACAATAACTTTCTAATCTGTTAACAGATTTGATTTAATTCTGCTCAAAGCCACTAGATGGCAAGAATGAATCCTTGAGATTCAGCAAGTCATGTGAGAACAGGAATGCTGATTGAAAGTTTCCAAAACCCTAATGAACAAGACTTACTTTGCTGCAGTGAAAATCCCTCTTCAAGATGTAATGTTAGCTGTAATGTAATGTAACACCATAGAAATTCTCCACCTAGCCTAATAGAAAAATTCTGGGATTTAAAATGTTTTGCCAAATACAAGGAACCTGTTGATCCAAAAATGAAAAGCAGTGAGTTTTCTATGCTACAGCAAAAGTTATTTTGCAGTGTGCTTTAACCATCTCATCCACTGGGTGGTGGGTTTAGAAAAATATCTGGGATCTAGGTCACTGTAAGCATGGATGATGAAATGTTAAACGTGTTGAATGC